CCGCCAGCAGTATACTATGCCAGTCTGGGGTTCTACCTGCCACCCAAGGTTCACATACACTTCTGTGTGGGTTCCCAGACCCTGTCGTCTGGTATTCTGGCATCCGTACCCTCACAGATCATAAACAATATATATAGAATAGGCAACTCTATTGGTATAGTTAACAGACATTTGGAATTAACCAGACCTAGGCTCATGATGCCAACCAGTTATTACCTGCTTTTCTCCCTGCAGTTTAACACTTGTCTAAATACAATGCAACCTAGGCAGTTGTCTACAACTGGGAGCAGATGACAAGCTTTACATGCCTGGGAACAAACTTCCTTCCTACGAAGCCTTTTTGTTGAGAGCACCCTACAAGAATGTGAGTCTTAGGGTCAGTGTCATGGCGTAGCAGACCGACCCCCCCTGCACCACCAGCATCCCATATGGGAACTGATTTAGTCTTAGCTGCTCCACTTCCAATCCAGCTCCCTGCTAATGTGCCTGGGAAAATCACTGGAGGATGAGGAAGTGCTTAGATCCATGCATACACATGGGCGACCTGAACGAAGCTCCTGGTTCAGAAGCTCCTGGCTCCTGGCTTTGGACTGGCCCAGCTCTGGCTGTTATGGCCATTTGGGGAGTGAACCAGTGGATAGAAGATCTCTCTCTTTCTCTCTGTTTGTCCTTCTCTCTATATATAATTCTGCCTTTCAAATAAAAACAAAATAAGTCTTTTTGACAAAATGTGAGGTCTGTGGCAAAGAGTCGCAATCATCATCTCCTTTGTGGCACCAACCCCTGCAACTGTCCTGCACAAAATAGACACTCAATAAATATCTATGGAACAAATCAATAAATCCACCTCTCTGTGTCTCCCCGGTTTCCTTTCCTGCTTCTGGCCAGCATCTTCTTCCTCTCTATTGTCCATTATCGAAGCCTATCTGTTGGCCTGCCATCAGTAAGTCAGAAATTTTCACCAGTATTTAAAAAAAAAAAAGATTTATTTTTATTGGAAAGGCAGGTTTACAGAGAGAAGAAGATTTTCCATCTGCTGGTTCACTCCCCAAGTGGCCGCAATGGCCAGACCTGAGCTGATCAGAAGAAGCCAGGAGCCAGCAGCTTTTTCTGGGTCTCCCATGTGGGTGTAGGGTCCCAAGGCTTTGGACCGTCCTTGATTGCTTTCCTAGGCCACAAGCTGGAAGGGAACTGACACCCATGTGGGATCCCGGAGCATTCAAGGTGAGGACTTTAGCCACTAGGTTACCACACAAGGCCCATCACTCTTTCTGATAGTGGAATTAAGAGATAAGCCATAAGACAGAAATGGACTACATTTAGGTTAAAAATCTAATTGGCTTTTATGAACAATTCATCAATCAGGTGGTGCTTTGTCTAAACGCATAGATAAGACACTCTGAACCTATGGTGCTATGATAGAACAGTTGATTTGCATATGGTAATTTGCACAGGAACAAGGAAACATCATGACACAAAAGACAAATTGGCTAATACTGTGTTATTTCAGGTGACTTTCCTGGAAAGACTGAGAGTAGATGGGACTTCTTTGTCATGTCTGCTAAAACTGGCCTGTTTAGAAATTTGAGTAGCACCTTCTACCTGATTTTCCAGCAAGTCAGATCAATAACGGTTTGATGACATGACACTTTACCATGAGTGACTCCATTTTGGATTGGTCTGCTCGGACTGGTGTCAGGACGTCGTCCAAATCAGTGGCCTCCCATGAACATTATTCTTGTCTGAGTTTGTGTTGCCAGTTGTGGCTATTACAGGAGAAGGCCTTTCCACAGGAAGTGCTAGCTGAACTGTGGGGATCCACATAAAAGCACAAAGAAGTCAGTCCTACCGTTCAACAAAAACAGCCTGAAGAGAGGGGACAGGCAGGATAAGACACCTGCAAGAGACACACTGAGCAACTTACTCACCCAGACAACTTATTTTTAAAAGTGAGCAAAATGGACCAATGCCTGAGAAATCCAGGCACATCCCGTATCTGAGTGCCTGGGAAGGAGTCCCGGCTCCACTTCCATATTATCTTCCTGATAACGTGCACCCTGGGAGGTAGTAGTTGATGACTCAAGTAGTTGGATCTTTGTCACCTGTGTGGGAGATCTGGCAACTCCTTAGGAATCCCTTGGTCTCTGGCCCTATAGAAGTTAGCCTGCCTCTCTCTCTTTCTCTCTCTCTGTCTCACACACACACACACACACACACACACGAGTAAAAATAACCACAAAAAGTAAAACAGTAGACAAAAAATGTGAAAGGTATTTTTACAAAAGAGAATACCCAAGCGGCTAATAAGCTGTGAAAAAAGGTGCTCAAATTCATTTCTCAGGGAAAAGTCATTTTGAAACCACAACACAGTCCATCTATGGAGCCATCAAAATGTGGAGATCGGAAGCACCGACAATGCCAAGGTTCAGTGAAGGAGTGAAGTAACAGGGGCCTCTCTCTCTGTTACTAGCGGGGATGGGGGGGGGTTGAAGTAGCATAGCCACTTTGGAAAACTTTGGCATCCTACGCAGATCTCACTTCAAGACAGCCTGCTGCAAGGGGGCCTGGCTGGCCAACAGCCTCTACTTGTGACACCTGGGTGCCCAGCAGAGCCTTCATGCCGAGGCCTGGCAATGCCCGTGAACGGGCAAGGTTACAAGATCCAGGCCATTTGGGCTTTCTGAAGAGCTCCTCTTAATCCAACTCAACAGCCTGACCAGGACTGTAGAGTCCTCACAGTGTCAGGCTTGCATACGGACTGGACTGCCTGGACAACCTGTCTCTCAAGACATTCAGCAAAAAAATTTAGTCCTTGACTATTTGTACTAAAACTTCCAGAAACCAAATCAAAGCATCATGCTAATTAGCAGGAACTCATCCTGATGTTCACAGCGAAAGGGAATTGAAAGCCTTATTGCCCAATCAATCACGCCCCAAATAATGAGTCCGATACATGGCAACACGTTCCTCTTGTGGTCTTGTCATTTCCTTTGTATTTGTTCCAATAGGACTGGATGTTTTGGGTATGTGTGCCAAGTGACGTGGAGCAGAAGCTGAGATCATGTTGATTAATCTGAGAATGTCAGAAACCAAGGGGAGGTTGAAGGTTATTCACACACAGCCCACGAGTTGCAGTGAGTGGTAGAACCAGACTGGATTATGTGCTGCAGAACAGGCAGAAAAAAAAAAAAAAAAAGGGCAGAACAGTCATCCATATTTCCCACTCTGGGAATTTGACCTGCAGGCCAGGGACAAATTGTTCCATTGATCTGTGGTCTGGAGGCTGCCTTTGTCTACTTGCCACCTCCATCTTTTCTCCTCCACGGACATTTTCCCTGGTAGTTTTTGTGCACACCTGATTTCACCCTTGGCACCTGTTTCTCAGATCGTCTGAACTAACACGGGCAGTATTTGCACAATGTTCATGGCAGTGTTCTTTGTTAGTAGACGGACCAAATGCCCATCAGCCGTGTGGCTAAAGACCACTGTGTGGTTACTCATAGAAAGGATGATTTACACAGCGATGCGAAATAATAATTGCTTGAGTGGATAAACCTCACAGGCCATCAGATCTTGTTCACAGAGTGCAAGGATCTGGAAAGGGAATTGCAGGAGAGAGAGTCCACGTCGACTCCGAGTGGGAATCTTTCTGAGGACGGTGGAAGACAGCCTTAAATCCCCTTCTACTGGTGTCCGCATCCCGTGTAGTCAGGTGCCTTGGCTGGACCTAAGAGCCATATTCTAGCTAACAGCATCTGTGAAAGTGATAGCATGTCATTTCCAAGGCTAATTATGTCACCACAAGCCTTGCCCTTATGGAGAGGTGTAAGTGGCAAGGAGCTCGTGTCCACACCCAGCAGCCAGAGGCCTGCGGCCTGCCAACAGGCCACATGAGCGCGCGCTGGAAATATGATCCTCTAGCGTTCCGTGGACACGAAGCCACTCCAGCGACACTGAGTCCGAGGACCCAAAGTGCACCCAGATGCTTACCCGGAGAAACTGGGAGGACGTTATACTGCCTGTTTTAAGCTACAAAGTCTGAGATGACTCGTTCCCCAGCAGATAACAGCAAGGAGGACATTGACCATGCCTCGGAATCACCGTACACAACCCTCCTGGAAACTGGAGAGCCGCGGCGTCCAGGGGAGAGCTGGCAACCTCCAGGAACCAAGTGTTGCTTCTCCGAAACAGCGAGATCCGCTTGCATGTACTTTCCTTTTGGTTCTGGCCACCGGGAAGCTCGGAACCAAATTTAGGACTCGGTTTAACAACTCTGCAGGCCCTGTATTCCCAACTCCTGGCTTCTCGCTACATCGTGACATGTCTTTCTCGAAATCTGATTTTTACAGTTGATCCTTGTATTTTCCTAAAGTATATGGATGATGTTAAACTACTCTGAATTTAGCTCGAGAAAAGCAACACATTCATAAATCATTTAAACTGAGTATGCTTTTTTTTTTAAATCTCCACTTAATTTTAAAACTAGTTCCGGGCATTAAAAACCCACAAAGTTTTTCCCTTACAGGTGCCTGGAGGTGGTGCCAGGGAGGATCAGGTCATGGGAAGTGACTCCGGGAGCTGTGCGCGCGCGCGCGCGCGCGTCGGGTGAGAAATGTCCAAGTGATAAGGACAAAAAAGGCAAGGAGGATGGCAAGTGACCGGCCACGCTCCGGGAGGCGGGGCCGGGGGCGGTCATGAGCGGTGCACCGGGTCCCGCAGGCCGGCCCCGGGCGCTGGGCCGCCCCGCCGCCCGCCCGGCCCGCCCGGCCCGCCCGGCGGCTGCGCGCTCCGCCCCGTCCCTCCGCGCCCGCGCGCGCCTTCCCCGCCCTTGCCCGTTCGCTCCGGTCGGGGCGGTTGGGCCGCGCGCCCGTGGAGGCGGGGCCGGGAGCGGGCGGCCGAGCCAATGGGGCGCGGCGGCGGCGGCGGCGGCGGCGGAGGAGGCGGAGGAGGCGGCGGCGGCGGCGGCTGGGTCGGGCCCCGACGGGCGGCGGCGGCTGAGGTGGAGGCGGAGGGAGGCGGCGGCGGCGGCGGAGGAGGAGGAGGAGGGGGGAAGATGGCGGCGCCCGTCCTGCTGAGAGTGTCGGTGCCGCGGTGGGAGCGGGTGGCCCGGTATGCAGTGTGCGCCGCCGGGATCCTGCTCTCCATCTACGCCTACCACGTGGAGCGGGAGAAGGAGAGGGACCCTGAGCACCGGGCCCTCTGCGACCTGGGGCCCTGGGTGAAGTGCTCCGCCGCCCTTACCTCCAGGTATCCCGGCTGAGAGGGGGGGAAACGGGCCCGGAGCGGCCGAGCCGGGGGGTCAGGGCCGGAGGCCGGGGGTGGGGGAGAGCGCGCGCGGCCCCGGGGGGCTCGGGCCTGGGGAGCGGCAGGGACAGGGCCGCGCGAGGACGAGGAGGACCGACGGCGCCGGGGGGACCCGGGTCCGGTGCCGGGGGGTGCGGTGTGGCAGGGCGGTGCAGCCCGGGCGCAGGCCTCCGGGGCGGAGGCGGGCGGGCGAGGGAGGGATGAGGTGGCAGAGTGCAGCGGGAGGCCGGAGCGGACCCGGAGCGGCGGCCCCGGAGCGCTCGGGCTGCCTGGGGCCGGGCTGAGCGGCAGGAGGAGGAGGAGCGAGGGTGGATCCCGGCAGGCTTGACAGGTTTCCTGCTTCTCGCCCGTGGGTGTCGGGTCTGGGGCTGTTGGGACCCTGTCCCGGGGAGCCGCGAGGGCCGCTGTGTCGCCCGCGATCCCTGCCTGTCTGTGCAGCCCCGGGGCTGCGTGACCGGCGTGGGCTCGAGGGGGCTGTTTCCCCAGTGTGTGTGTGCACGGGGGACAGGTGTTTCCGCGGCCAGGCCTCTTTGTACTCTGTAGCGCTAAGGAGACTTCTTGAAACGGTGACACACACGAATTTGACCCCAATCTGGAAGGAGATACCGGCATGTAAACGTGTCTGATTTCTGGGGATTTCTCCTTGCGTGTTTTAAGGTGCCCAGCAAGGAGAATTGATCAGACTTAGAGTCCGACTTAAGTCTAATTTGAGTAAAGGAAGAGAACATGTCGTGCGCAGGGATAACGATTTAAGCTAAATTAGAATGTCTTAATGTCGTTGATGAGTATAATTGGATACTCACAAAAGGTTAAAAAAAAAACCACACACTTTGCTAAACTAGTTCTGCTGATTTTAGTTTTTTTTTTCCAAAGTTGCCATTGATTTGCCTTTTGTAATATTAATGCACTGAATATTCCCAGGCAACTTATTTTGAAAAAAAAAAAGGGGGGGTGGGAGGGAGTTTACAGCGTGAAGTAACTGGTTCCCTCCACCCCTTGGGGGATGATGATTTTAAAACCTAGCAAAAGTGCAAAATGCTTTCAACACTCACAGGTTGTCGTTTTCATCAACACGGTGCCTGGTATTTTTTTTTCTGTTTGTTAGCTGTAGTCACATTTGAGCGATTTCGTGCCCTCCTGTTGATGGGAAATTGCTAGGTAGACAGACACATAGAGCTCACGGCTCCGTTTTGACCCACATATTGGTGGTTTTGTGAGCAAGCTAGGAGTTTGTCTTGTTTCTGTTCGCAGACTTGCTGATCTCCCCCCCCCCCACCCCCCAAGGAATAGCCCTTTCAAGGCCTAGGAGCTCCATCTCTTCAAATTCTTGTAGCTTTTTTTGGTAGAGCATGGTTACTTTGTGCATGCTGTAAGCATTTTGTAAAAAAAAAAAAAAAATGCATTTTTGAAATGTAATGTCAGTTTGCAGTGAAAACTAGAGCAGCTTGATCAAAAGCTCCCTTTCATTGTTGGTTCTTTTGAAAGTTAGGCTAACTAGACTTTGAGAGACAGCGAGTGTATCTTTGGCAAACATTTTAATGTAAATTTTAGTTTTGGAAATGGTGTTTAAACTTAGAAGTATCTTGCACTTAGAGTTGAATGAATAAACGCATAATGAAAAGACTGCAGCAGCACATTGCAAATGTGGAAGAAACAAAATATAAAAAAACAACTTTTGGGGGCCCGGCGCGGTGGCGCAAGTGGTTAAAGGTCCTCGCCTAGCACGCCCAGGATCCCATATGGGCACCGGTTCTAATCCCGGCAGCCCCGCTTCCCTTCCAGCTCCCTGCTTGTGGCCCGGGAAAGCAGACGAGGACGGCCCAAAGCTTTGGGAACCTGCACCCGCGTGGGAGACCCGGAAGAGGCTCCTGGCTTCGGATCGGCATAGTATCGGCCCGTTGCACTCACTTGGGGAGTGAATCATCGAACGGAAGAAATCTTCCTCTCTGTCTCTCCTCTCTGTATATCCGCCTTTCCAATGAAAAAATAATAAAAATAAATCTTTAAAAAAAAAAACAACTTTTGATGCTATACTGATATGGAATTTATGCAGAATTTTTGCTAGTTTTTTTTAAAGATCTATTTTATTTTATATTGGAAATTCAGATACACAGAGAGGAAGACCTTCTGTTCATCGATTCACTCCTCAAGTGGCTGCAACGGCCAGAGCTGCACTGATCCAAAGCCAGGAGCCAGGAGCTCTTCTGGGTCTCCCACGTGGGTAGAGGGTCCCAAGGCTTTGAGCCATCCTCGATTGCTTTCCCCAGACCACACGCAGGGAGCTGGATGGGAAGCAGAGCTGCTGAGATTAGAATAGGTGCCCATATGGGATCCCGGTGTATGCAAGGCAAGGACTTTAACTATGAGGCTACCCCACTGGGCCCAATTCTTGCTAATTTTAAGGGTTTTTTTTTCCCCCTAGAAACATGTGGAATGTGAAAATTTAGTGGGCCTTTTAACATTGAACACGGGAAAAGTGTATTTAAGTTCTTCAAGCGGACTTTTCTTTACAAAAGAGTGATGCCTTTCTCTGATACTTTAGGAGGAATCTGGGTTGGAGGCAGAATATTGGGGATGGGCTGCTGGCATTGCAAGCAGCATCTTACCTTGCTCTGTCACAATGCCAGACCCTATACTGTAAATTTACTGAGTTGGAACTGGAACTAAGTTTTTGTAGCTTTTACATAAAATATTTTGGATTTGATGCTCCTTGGAGAATAGGTAAGAGATAAGGCCTGCTAGTAGAATTAAGAAGATAACAGAGTTGTCATGCATACTATAAAATTATTCTTAAGAAATTTATCCAGCTTAATCAACTTACTTATAAATTATATGTGACATATAAGCATATATGCATAAATCTATGTATTTTAAATGGATATTTGGAAATTAAAATGTTAGTGTGGTTTATGGCTTTTTACAAAACATTTATTTATTTTTGCTTGAAAGCCAGAGTTAAAGAGAGGGAGAGACAGAGGTCTTTCGTCACTGGTTCATTTCTCAGAAAGTTGTGGCATCCAGAGCTGGGCTGGTCCAAAGCTGGGAGCCAGGAGCTAGACTGTGATAAGCAGGGAGCCGCATCGGGAAGTGGAGCGGCTAGCCAGGATTCCACCAGAGCCCATGTTGACTGCTGAGCCCACAGGTGGAGGATCAGCGTACTCCACCACCACCACCCTGGCTCCAGCTTATGACCTCCTTTTGGAAGTGGTTAGAATAAAAGTTTTCTGAAAAAGACTTTTGAGTGGAAGCAGGTTGTCGGAGACCTCAAGTTCCTTTGGTTTACATCTTGATTGCTGGGTAGTGGTAATATTCAGAGATGTGATTATTTGGGGGGAAGGTTGGAGTCCAGGTTGCAGTTAGAGTTGAAGGTGAAGGATGAGAGAAGTCGGGCAAACCACGGCGAGGGAAGTCCTCTCCGAGGACCCAGCGCTCACCCCCGGGATTGTTGCAGTGCTCGACCTCTGCTCTCATTTCTCAATCTTAAATTTCCTAATTCAGTTAGAATAAAGTACATATTAATGAGAGAACCTTGGGAGGGGGCGTGTGTGTGTGAAGTTCTCTGATATTTCGGGAGGTATAATTATGTCAGGGAGTGATTCCAGAGTTTTCCCTTTCAAAGAAGCATGTTCCGAGATAACGGAGAGAGCGTAATAAAATTTGACCAACGATAGCCAGTACAAATAAGAGCAGTGATCTACATCACAATCTATCCTTGATCACTTCATTTTTTTATATTATTATTTTTTTAAAAGATTTATTTTTTATTATTTTTTCATTGGAAAGGCGGATATACAGAGAGGAGAGACAGAGAGGAAGATTTCTTCCATCCCATGATTCACTCCCCAAGTGAGCGCAACGGGCCGATACTATGCCGATCCGAAGCCAGGAGCCTCTTCCTGGTCTCCCACGCGGGTGCAGGTTCCCAAAGCTTTGGGCCGTCCTCGACTGCTTTCCCAGGCCACAGGCTGGATGGGAAGCGGGGCTGCCGGGATTAGAACCGGCACCCATGTGGGATCCCGGGCGTGCGAGGCGAGGACCTTAACCACTTGTGCCACCGCGCCGTGCCCGATCACTTCATTTTGAAAAAGGGTATTTTGATCATAGAGCAGAATCTCCAGCTAGAGATGGAGACCTCTAGATGGAACATTTAGCTTTGTTGGAAAATTTGCTTGGTTGTTCCTTTGCTATTTTACCTCATTTTTGCCTAAGTTATGGGAAACTCCACCACAGCCCTGCACCAGTCGAGCAGAGGGCATTAAGTAAGCACTTGCTGTCTGGGCTTGGTGGGCGCCTCTGCCAGGTGTGGCCTCAAGCTAGTTACTTATCTTGGTTGAACCTGTTGTTTTGCAGGGTGAGTGTTGGAATCAAAGATGATACGTTTGTCTGCTAAAACACAGTATGTATTTAGTGATTGACGTTATTAATTGGAGGTGTTACTCATTTCTTCTTTTTAGATTTATTTTTTGTTGGAAAGGCAGATTTACGGGGAGAAGCTGAGACAAGAAAGATCTTCCGTGCACTGGTTCACTCCCCAAGTGACCAAAACAGCTGGAGCTGAGCCAATCCAAAGCCAGGCGCTTCTTCTGGGGGTACAACTTGGGAACAGGGTCCCAAGGCTTTGGGCCGTCCTCTGCTTTCCCAGGCCACAAGCAGGGAGCTGGATGGGAAGTGGAGCAGCTGGGAGATGAACCAGCGCCCATAGGGGATCCCAGTGTGTGCAAGGCGAGGATTTAGCCACTGAGCCATCGCGCCAGGTCCAACGTGTTACTTTTTCTTTTGCAGTGTCTGATAATGATAAATGCCGTTGAGTAGAACAAGTTTTGTGACTACTTGGTGGCGTGCTGTAAAGACTTAAAGGCACTTAAATAATTTTAAAAACAAATCACAGACAGAATTTTTTTTTAAGATTTCTTTTATCTTTTTAATTGGAAAGGCATATCTAC